ATGGTTCGTTATATATGATGAAATATTTGTAAATATGCTAATTTCGGCAATTTTACGAAATATTATGTTTTTTGACATTTTTCTAGAAAACTAATGGATTTAAAAGAAAAACTGTAAGGACTTAACTTTACAAAACAATTAGTTTTACAATTTAGTTCATATATTTTTTTTTTTGAGAGCGTTAATTTACGAGTTAATTGCTAAAAACTAAAAAAGTACCCCTTTTGGCCGATTTTCAACCCCAAGTCGGCACGGGTTAAACTTATCTGATCGGCCTGAAATTTTTTGTTGTCACTTTTTATATGTATACACACAAATTTGGGGGGTGAGCCCGAAGAATTTCCAAAATTTTCAAAATAAGGGACACCCTAATATATATATACAAGGTGTTCAGTAAATAAGGAAACGAATTTCTACTGTACTCATTGTTTGTAACAATTTAACTGTTTCCTAACTTACTGAACACTCTGTATATATATATATATACAGAGTGGAACGGATCTAACTGACAATTCATATAACTTATGATCTACATAACGTTTTATACTTTTTTTTTTAAATAAATTTTTACAGTATAGAAATATATTTAAAATATGTTTTATGTAATTTTTTGCAATTACAAAAAATATTTTAAAAATTAATTTTTTTATTAAATTTTTTTTTAAGATTTGAAAATAGCTATTTTATTGATAAGTTTTAAAGAAAAATTTTGATAACAAAAACTTATTTTAATTCAGTAGTTACGTTTATACAGCATTTTGAAATTTGTTAAATTTTGATTTTTTTTTTCAATTTTCTTTTGGTATCAAATGTTAGTCCATATTATGTAAAGGACGGTAGTAAACACATATTGTGTTATTTACTAGTAACAGTACGCGATTTCTTTTCTATAGATGATAATAAAGTTTAACGTGCTTTATACTGTAATGATTATCTCTAATCTTTATTACAAAAGTTAGAAACATTATCGTATGTTAATTACGAGTGTTCCATGCTTAGCCAAGTTAAAAGTGATAACAATTATTAATTTTCGTGATTCTATCATTGTAATCATATTATTATAGGATATTCCATGTTAGGAGATTTGATAATAAATGCACTTATTACTCACGTTTCAATTTATGATATTTGTACTTATTTAATTAAAAATTCAACATGTTTTAGACAATGTTTCTATAATTTTTTTTAATAATCTGTAGTATATTACTAATTGTTTTTTTATGCAATTTACAAATGCTTATTCAAATGTTAATAATTTTCATGGAAAAGAAATCGTGTACTGTTACCAGTAAATAATGTAATAAGTGTTTACTTCTGTACTTTACATAATATGGACTAACATTTGATACCATAGGAAAATTGTAAAAAAAATCAAAATTTAACAAATTTCAAAATGCTGTATAAACGTAACTACTGAATTAAAAGTTTTTGTTATCAAAATTTTTCCTTAAAGCTTATCGATAAAATAGCTATTTTCAAATCTTAAAAAAAAATTTAATAAAAAAATTAATTTTTAAAATATTTTTTGTAATTGCAAAAAATTACATAAAACATATTTTAAATATATTTCTATATTGTAAAAATTGATTAAAAAAAAAAGTATAAAATGTTATGTAGATCATAAGTTATATGAGTTGTCAGTTAGATCCCTTCCACTCTGTATATATATATATAATGGCTAATTATGAATTTGAGTTATATTCACAATTAACAGGGATTCAATTGATTTATCAAAAAAATTTTCTAAATATTCTACCGAAAACATCGGCTTTTAATATATGATTTCAAAAAATGTCTATATTCTACTTAAAAGGATAATTTTCAATTAGTTTTGTGCTTTTTTAATATTCTTTACAACAATAAGAGTTAAATTAAAAATAATTAGTCATTTGAAATACCATAATTAAACAAAAAGTATACAAAAAAAATGTATTAATCATTAATTAATTACTATGGCTACAGTAAATATTATGTAACATAAAAATGTATGTATGGTAAATTATTAATTGTATATTTATTAATGTACTGTGAAGCTCAACAAACACAAGCATTCAAGGTTCGTTAAAAAACATATTCACATCTTTAAATTACCAAAAATAGAAAAGCTTTAAGCTTTAGTTTCAAATTAAATCATAGTAATATTTTCAGGAAAATTAGAATTTTAGTTTATTTAGTTTAGTTTCTGTTTTTTAGGTTTCCTATTTTTTGTTATTTTTTAAATATAAGATTAATTTTCCAACATAATCTACGTTATTTAAAGATTTTAGTTGTGATATTATACATATTTTATCTGTGCCATAAAAAAAAAAATATATATATAGAAAATTTTACATTGTTCATCTAAAATTTTTTATTACTTTTACAGTAACCTGAAGATAATGTTGTAAACCAAAAAATATGTTAAATGTAAGGGGTATCGAATATAAAGAACTATCTTTGTTATTTTACTCAGGATGTGTTGTTCGTGGGTTTATATTTGTTAATATTATTTTGCAAGCTAAATGTGAATGTTCTTACCTGAGCTTTTAGTTATTCTTTAGGCGTATAGAATAATGATAAAAGAAAACGCAAAGCCAGACAGTTGTTGATGATAAAATAATATAATTAATGTAACTTCACATATGATTATATATAATAATTGTGATAATTAGAAGGTAATTACATCATGTGAAGGTTACGGAAAGATATTGTTCTTAGTTAATAAACACAAGCTTAAATATTGATAATCATATTTATAATTATTCTACGGAGTTAAATTAATGTGGCTAGTGAGAACCAGACGATGAATGCGACCTGCTAGTCTTGGAGTTCGATCGAAACAGGTCGTATGCGTCCATCTCTGGGAGTCTCCTGGTGTTCTTCTTATAACCCCTTCCAGAGACGCATATATTCATCGTCCGGCTTTCATTTGCTTCACATTTTTTTAGGAACTTCATGATTTTGCTTATACACTGAAAAAGGGTTGTTTAACTGAAAATAATAAATAGAAACATTTGATTGTTGAAGGGTGCACGTGCGGTGGAAAAGAAGAGCGGATGCCTATAGCGTGATTGTGTCAACTATGTGTTTGGCTGTGAATAAAAACAGAAAATATTGATTGTGTATAGTATTTGTTGTGAGAAGTATTATGTAATAGGATAGAATCTTTGTTTGTTTTGATAGATGAAAGGGAAGAGAAAGAAATAGTGTTTTTTTGTAAAGGGCCTATTACAACACTAACTTGTAGTTGAAACTAGTAGTGATTGTAACATTATTATAATAAAGTTTATTTTTAAAAATAGTGCATATCATATTATAATTTGTTAATGTATCTGTATTTAAGAAGAATTAATTTTTTTTGAAGTGAAACTTTACAGATTATTGAACATTACTGTCCACAGACGGATTCTATTGTTTTATTAGTTACACAGTTAAAATTTTATTGTACGATAAACGTATGACTTATGAGGTTATGCATAAAGCTAATGAAAATAAAAAAAAATTTTAATGGAGGCATTTAGTAACCTTTTGTCTCCAAATCATGTGTCATTCCAAATATTTTTCACTGTGGAAAATCGTTTGTTATAAAATTACTGATAAAAATTTATAATCGTTATAAGGATAACAATGGTCACTGCAATGCGTACAAAACTTGTGCTTTAACAGGTAAAGCTGCAGTAGTCATAAATATGACCACATTTCATACGGGATTTACAACATCAATATCTAAAGTGGTACCATTGTCTTTAAAAATGATCTATCAATATCGTGTGTAGTTTAAACATGTTAAAGTCATAATTTTTGATGAAATTAGCGTGATAGGTGCTGAATTGTTAATCAAAATTAACAAACGTCCGCAGAAAATCGTAGGTAATTTCAAAGAAAATTTTGAAAGACTGGGTGTTATTTTCATCGGGGACTTGCGTCAGCAACCACCATTTTAAGCGACTTGCCACCAAAAAACATATTTTTAGCCAATTTTATGAGTTGAACTCAGTAATGAGAATAGCTAATATACAGTTCGCATCAATCTGACTAAGATTGTAATGGTGATAGGCTTGATGATTATGAACTGACTTTCATACAATCACGAATTTTCCCTAAAGCTGATGTTGATATACATCGTGTTAGTGGAATTTGCATATTTAACACAAACCACTTATTAATGAGTATAACTATCAGATTTTAAGTGCAATAAGATAAAAGCCTAGATAGAAAAATAATATTAAATATAACATTATAATAATGATACACTTGTATTGTAAAATATTATTATAAGATTTATTAATAATTATTTTTTGGGTATAAAAATGTAATAATAATATTTTTGCCCGCAAAAATCGCTTTATTATAACACTTTATAATTAATGTTTTTATAATATTTTAAAAGTAATACTATATTATATTTTTGATATATTCTCAGATAACAAAATAATGTTAAAATACATAAATGTATTGTTATACTTTTATAATAGTTATATCCTAATAATTGTACATTTTTTTTTGTAACATTATTTATAGTTTTTCAACTGAAAAATAGTTGGTGGATTTAAACCATCAAAGCAATTCTTAAATACAGCTTTGCTAATATCAATATTTGCCCAACTTGCAAGTTGGGTAAAATCTTGATATTGAACCCATTTTAAATAATAACTCTACTAAATTTAAATTTTAAAATATGGTAAATATAAAAAAATTTAAATGGTTAAAATCGATTCTTATGGTTATAGCCAGTGAATAATATCACTTTACAATGGTATAAATTGTTTAAGAATATAAGGTACTCTGATAATGTTGTACAGATAAAAAAAAATTAATTATACTGTATGTTAGGAAGTCAACTATATATATTATATTCATTTCATATCTTGAAAAATAAACATTAAAACATAAACAATATTTTAAATTCCACAGAATCGAAACAAATAAATGAACACTTTTAATAACAACATAAAATAAATTATAATGATACTTATGAGTTTCATCATATTTATATTTCATTATATTTTTATATATTTATACACTAATTAACCTGAAACTAGAACCAGCCAAATAAATTTTCAAAGGTTCTTCAATTTCCCTGTTAGTGAAATTAGTAAATTTATTAACTTTTCTTATTGTTTCTGAAATAAAGTAAAAATAAAAAATAATAGTTAGATATTATTTAAAGTCAACTCAATTTGATAAATTTTTAATCAATTTGATGTGGAGCACTAAAATATATATAATATAATCATTATATTCACATCTTACCACATCTTATATATACATCATATACACATCTTTCTTCCCCTTTTGGCCTACATAGCTGTATTGTTGTAATACAATGTCACAAAAAAGTGATATCAAACGGACCAAACACAGTAGAATTCAACTTTTTTTTGTAATCTCTTGAATTCATTTACCTAAAATAAATAAAAATAAAAATATACAGTGGCTTCTAGTAGAAATACTCACAACACATTACCTATAAGTTCTATTTAACAGTTTTTCTTCAAAAAAAGTTAATTGTTCATCATTAATGAAAGGAATTAAAGAATAAAAATCTTCAGCTTCCACTCTTGATTTATTCTCTATGGGTCAAATTTTTTCAATAGTATTTTGTACTGCTATTTCCAAGGACTACTCCAATTGTAATTTAGTATACCTATAATAATATCTGTATTAATTACAAAATACATGATAAAAACTTATATATAAAAGCTTTTACCAGAATGATTCTTTTGTGAAGTATTGGATGAACTGCTTGATTAAGCTGGTTTGATTAAATTGATATCGTATGTACCTAATGTAAAACAAATGATGACTTTATACACAAATTATTCAGTTTGAACTAACTATACATTACACATATACTATTTATAAATAGTAGATTTTTAATGTTGTAACATTAAAATTAACCTGGTAATCCCCCCTGACGTCTGAAGCGTAAATGGTGTCGTGATCTCTTAAGATAAGGTAATTTCAAATAAAAATTTTAATAAAAATTAAAAAAAAAAAAATCCACAGAAAGTGCCTTTGATGGGTGGCTTCTTTCATCAAATTTTCCATGTCATTCTCGTAACTCTTATCAAATATGCTTATTGTGTCTGTTGATACAGATTGTATATTACGTTTAATAATAATAAAAAAAAAAAAAAACATTAAAATAATTGCAGTTGTTATGATATATAATTTAAATGTAATTAACTTAGTGATTAAACTTTATAACACACTTATTGAAATGGTAGAAATAATTTTAGGACTTGAATTTGGGAATGAGTTTTCGGCATCACACTTTGTCTCAGCTACTATAAAAAATTCATAGTACATTTAATTAATATATACATATGTTATCTATTTAAATTATACTCGATGAAGTAAATTATAGCGAAAATTATTTAAAATGTGATATCAAGTAGGATTTTTAATTTAAAAATAATATTAAAATCATCAAATAATTATAGATTGTGCAGAGGTGATTGATTAAGGCATACTACACCTTTTTTTTTTTTTCTCTCTTTTTGGTTCATCTTGATTTTTTTCTGGATATAAAAAATATATGCATATAGCAAACACAAATATGTACTTGAATATTGCATGTAAAATTAACTTATGGAAATAGAATATTTAGCATAATTGTCTTAGATAAAAATATGGGGGTCTTCAATCTTCCTAGAACTTTTTTTTGGTTGTAAGTAGTTTTTTCTGACTGATAAGTCACTAGTGTCCTGCGCTACTCTAAATTTAGCTTTAGCTTCAACTAATGTTTCTAAATTTTTTAATTAAATTAAAAGGCTGCAATAACAATATTGGGTTTTAATATTTTATGTAAATTTAATAATAGTATTTGTATTTAAATACATTTAGAATCATATGTTGGTTAAAATAATGGTATTTTTTTAACAATGACAATTTAAAATAATGATAAATTATAATACATTCATTATATGTATATTATTTATAGTTAATATATGCATGTAATGAATCATGATTCATTTCAATAATAAAATTATATATAACTAATTCTTCAAAATTAAATTTACTTTGTAGAACCACTGATTAATTACCTATATTTCTCTTTAATATTCTACATTTAAAATGTTTAAATTCAATATCATTGACATCAATTCTTTTTTTAATTTTTTTTGATGCGTCCTCATTAGGCCAGGTACATTTATTTATTTTTTCCAATGTGATGGTATATTCCACCTTATTATCTTGGGTAAACAAAACTATTGCCCACATAATTAAATAATTCACCTTGAACAAATTAAAAAAACATGCTTGAGGAAAAAAAATTAAAAATTACAGTGTTTACAACATAAATAATAATAATTTAATATAATTAATGTAACTTTAGATTTAAAATGAAATAAGAAAAAAAACATTCTAATTTATCAACAGTTTTTGGATTTTTGGAAATTTTATATTTTATAGCCCATTGGGCCAGTTCAAAATTTATTGTTGGAAAGGAATCAGTCAAATTATCTATTTCACTAATAGAATTACAACTAGGACAATTGATCTTTTAATATTTCATTATTAGTAATAAAATTATTGATATCAAATGATATACTATCATCAGATTCTATGTCAGATATATCTGCAACAGAAATGTTTTCTTTGCAGATATTAGTGACATTAGAAATATTATTACTTAGAGTAGATGGAGGTTCAACTTTTTCAAACGCACTAGAACTACTAGATTGCCGAAAGCACTCAAACCTTCTTTCCTCTTTCTTCTCTTAGAACGGTCACTTAAAAACTCATCCATAGTATACAAATGAAAATAAATTGATAAAATTAGAAAGTACTAATAAGGGAATCTGACTTACACTATGTAATCAGATCTTTTTAATAAAAATATCGAATTAAATATAATTTAATTGACTTAATTAGATTGTCAAAAATATTATAAAATTAAATAAAAAATTAAGCTACTTACCAAGTTATTACGAACTAAAATATTTTTAATAGAGGGTAAAAATTAGCGTTGCCCTAACAATCACAAACATGAAAGATATACAAACCCTAAAGACCGCGCAACTCTTATCAACCGTACCTTTACTTGTGTAAACACTCGTGGGATATTTCGATGGTACAAAGTCCAACAATGACCGCTCGGATGGTCGTCGCTGACATAGATATTTCAACGATGTACCAATGGCGATTGGGTCATTGATACATCGTTCTGTCTGAACCTTTACAGTTTTGACTACACCACGGACCAACCAAAATAAAATAATTGTTTTACTTTGGTCCAGCAGGTTAACCTACTAGACCACAGTATTTGTGATTTTCACTTTAAATTAAACTCCGTGATTCCTTTTACTTACATATTTGTTTAATAAATTTATCAGTGGCGGCCCTTAATAATTTTATATAAAGTGGTGACAAACTGTCCGTCGGACATTAATTGACCCCTTTTTTCTTTCAGTTTAATTTAAATATTTCTTGAATATTATTCATAATTTAAACTTAAAAATTTAAAAATAAATAAAATTACTATCCATACGGTAGATCAGAACGGTATTAAAACGTTTGAGTGTGATCGCTTCAAAGTCGAAAATTGAAATGGTAAAAACAAAATATAAAAGTGTAGGTATTATACCAATCGAATTATCTGATAAATTTACTTAAAAGAAATATAATAATATTATTATATTTCTGTACCTACACGCATTTGCTTTAGGGTCGAACTTTATTAGAGAGCTATTGCCTTATTAATATTTATTAGACACGTAGATTACAATTTGAAAACTGTCGACACGAGCAGGTCGCCGCCAAAAATGTGCAACGAGAATTCATCGTACTGAACTTGCCCTTGTCACGTTGCCGCAAAGCCCACAAAAACTATAATTAATGATATAGTATACAATATCTATGTATATCAAAAACCAGATTTTTCGTGAACCCTTCGGACAGTCACCGAATTGTGCGTTTTGGCGTTGGTGGTACGATCGCCGCGACTGCGAAGTAGCGTTGATCGGCCATGCTGTTAAAATGTTTGATTATTAACATTGGGAAGTCGGAAAAACAAAACTAACAAAATAAAATTTTTCTTATTATTTTACATTAGAATCCTTTATCTCTATTTATAAAAAGAAATACTATAGTATTTCTTTATTTTATTTATTTATTTAACATATTTATTTAATTTTATATTTTAGTAATCATTACAAATAGGTATACCTATTTGTAATAATTGCTAACAAGTAAAATTACAATTAAATTTTTTTTTAATTTTATGTAGGTTGTATTCGATTGCACCCTAGTACGGGCTACCACTGAACTGTATTAACTTTTAAACAAATAACGTGTGTTGGCTATACCCAACAGTGTAAATTATAATTTACACTATAATTATTTCAATGGCTGTAAGCAATGGCGTCCAACAGAATGTAAAAAAAAAATCACTGTATTATTACTAATAAAATGTTTTTATAACGTTAACTGATACTGTTATTTTTATATTAGAAACATAACGTTAAAAAACCCAGCACAGGGGAATCGCGGCACAGTGGTGACGTGGATAGTTGGGTCAAGTATAATGATATCTGACAGTGATTATAATCACTATCATAAAAACGCTTCGATACCATAAAATAAAAAATTTCATAAGAATCGCTTTGTTGCAAATCTTTAGATAATGTTTAATTTTAAAAATTAGTGGATTATTCCAAAAACTACATAATCTGTTATTTCCTTATTTATATCGTGATTAAAACAAAGTATGTCGAATGAAAGAGGAATATAAATATTATTTCTCATAAAAAAATTGTATTGATCCATACACTTTTCAATAAGTTATAGCATTATAAAGTTAAAAATGTAAAATACAAAATCGAGAATTTTCACTCAAAAATAGCATTTTGTAAATATTTTCACCATGAAGACAAAATAAAGTCCGAATTTTTTTTTCCATGATAAAGTATATTACATTAGTTTTAATTTAAGATATATACAGAAGTGTCAGAGTTTCTGGAACACTTTCAAAAGTTGTCATTTTGAATCCCCCCTGTGGGCAGGTAAAGGGACAGATTTATAAAAAATATATACTTAATGAAAGGTAAAGATATTATGCATCTATGAAAAAAAATTATATTGATTTGATTATTTTTAAAAAAAGTTATGGCAGTTTTAAGTAAAAAAAAATTGAAAAAATGTCTAAAATTAGCGATTTTTTAATTTTGTAATTTTTTTGGAGATTTCCCCCATTTACGTGGAACGAAGGAAATTTTTTCAATTTTTGAGGGTAATATCTTCAACTAGATACGATTTGTGATCTTTTGAAAGAAATCGGTTCGGTGGGAGCTGAGAAAAAGTGATAACAGACTCACAAAAAAATAAAAACACATAACATTAAAACCAATACCTTTTTAGCTTCGCATCGAAGCTAAAGAGACACTATATTATTTTAAATTAAGTATTTTAAAAATGTTTTGCTAATGAAATTATAATAATATTAAAAATATAATATCAAACATAAAAATGTTAAATAAATAATATTATCTACTAAATATTATTATAATATAAAACAAGTATTATTAATTTTATAGTGTAATTGCACTAATACAATAATATTATCATTACAATTTTGCTATCTTGGAGGTTGTTTCATAGCGAAAGATGTTTAAAATGTTCATCAGCTAATCATGAAGCCCTCTTGTGACAAAAAGTTCATAAAATGTCACTTATCAGTACAGGTAACTTTTCATATGAAACAATACTTGTTAAAAATAATCAATATCGACGTATCTGATGGTTTGGCAAATGGAGATCATATAACATCAATTTGAATCAAAGCAAAACCATTTGTATTAAGCGTTTTATTATTCATAAATTACAAGGAAGCACGTATGCTCAAATAGTGTATGAATATAACAAAAGACTAGCATATTTATTGTTATATGGAGCTTTGCCACGTGTTACTGATCTTCACAGATTGTTCATCTATATATATAAAAATAAGTGTACATTTTGAATAAATTTTATAACTCAAGATCCAGCAAACCGATTT